ACAATGAGTTTCTGTTTGAGATTACTTGCAGTGAGCGTGAAACGAAGGTACCAGATGTTTCTCTTTATGAAATGCAGGTTAATAGAATGAACCGAAATGGTCGCATTTTATGTTTATTAGAAGTTAGATTCGATGATATTGCAGGCACCAAATGGTTGTCCCATTCACTCTCGTCTGATTTGAAGAGCGGAAATTTCTCGCGGGTTGAATTGAACTTCAAAGGTGAGATCGATAGTAGAGGGGATGTTGATGATGTGAGCAGAAACGAAGCAGAAGATACTAGTTCAGAAGACAGGATCATGAATGCACGTGAAGATAAGAAAACCTTTGACGAAAGCCCAAGGCAGAATATGCATCCGGAATCATTGTATGAAGGAGTAACGGTGCAAGAGGAAAACAGTGGAGGCTATTTGCGAGATTCTACGCAAGACAATTGCACAGACGCTGGTCGAAGTATTACTGGTGTTCCCTCTGGACCGCTTGCTACTCTCAGCGATTCATTGCTTAACAGAAGAAGATCAAGATATGAAGAATCAGCCAACCATACCGATGTATGTGCTGGTTATTCTCCATTTGGTGACTTTAATTACAGACAAAGAAATGAACTGATTGAAGATGCGAATATGTTCAAGTACAGAATCGAACATTCAGATCACTTCTTCGATAAGGAGTATTCGATTACCACTACGGTGTCTTATACAGATCAAATGTTCCGCAAGTTTCCGAAGTATATGAGAATGTCGCATTCAATGGGAAAAGACAGTAAACCACTCTTCTGGAAAACATTCGATACCGATGGAGATTTTCTAGGAATATCCCCCCTCTTACGATCCAAGGTTCAGCTTTCACGTACGTGCAGTGTCAATGTCGTTTACACCGACAAAAATCTCTATGCTTGTCAGTCGCGTGACAAGAAAACTCAAAGTACGGTGTCCAATGATGGCCAAAATCAAGATACCGGTGAAAGTCATTACCATTCCCCTGTTGGTAGAAGTGATTATCAAACAGGAAACGTTGGTACAGATAGATCAACAAAAGAGAATCGCACGTATGACGAAGCCAATGAAAACTCAAGGAGTGATGCATCTGGGACAAGTGGCATGACAAGATATGAACGTGTTCTGCAGAAAACAACCTCGTTCAATAGCATTCAGCGAATATCTGCACTGCAGAAATCATCTGATAGACATTCACCGACTAACGTTGAACGTATAACCATACCAGCAGATATCAGGCGAATGAGACCAGATCGATTGTCACGCTCTCGTTCTCCACGTCGTTTGAACGCCTTTGAACGTTGTGAACGACGAAGCATTCAAGGCGACGGCACGTTACTCTGTGACGCCGACTGTCTCCTTCGGATCAATTTCTTCGCGGAACGTCTCACTGAACAAATTGCGGAATTGGCCGTTATCGATTTGACATTAAAATTCAAGCTTGAATCTAATCCACGCGCTCTTTATTTCTCTGAATTGGACGGCGATGATGTTGCTCTTCCACCAATGACACCTTCTGAATCAGGCGAAGAACGGTACAGCTTTCAAAATTGCACTATTTTTGCTCATAACAGAGCGTTTGACATCACGGTGATGAAATCTTTGTTGTAGTCGTGAGAATTTAACAAAACAGAAAGTCACATTTCAAAGCCAATGGAACTCATGCCACTGAAAGCAAGTCTGAAGATACGATCTGACCAATAGGACCTGATTAAAATATTCGAACATTCAGAAACAAATACTCTGTCAATAGATTACGAGCTACGATCAATACTTAATTCGAAAATTTCAGTACTGACGATGGAGGTGCATCATTTTCCGTAGTTGCTGATGACCAAGATGTGTCACCAAAACCACTAGGATGGTTTTCCATATTCGGTGGAATGTCAAGGCGGTTAAGTCGTGACGATCGTCCGCGTTCAGCACTTCCATTCGTCTTGAGTGTCAGTCGCCGACCAAGCAGTGAATCAAGTCGAAAGAGTTCAGCTGAATTCATGGACCTTTTGCGACGTGCTTCTGGTACCAGCTCGACACCACATTCGGACAACGATTTTAAACTGCCGGATCATGCCTTTGTTGGTTTATCTGGGGAAGAGAAAGAACATGTTGTTAGGGTGAGGAGACTAAAATGCATTTCGTTGATTATTATTCGCGAATTCTTACTTTCATATTAGTCGTACGTATAACTGATTCATTCGAATCAGCAGTTTCAGCACTTATACAAGTTCATTTCAGAACATTGTTTCCTTCAATGATCTAAATATTTCAGGTTATGGCAGCATCGCGTAAAACGGCCAGCAGTCAGTCAACGCCAAGTGCTTCAAGAAGGTTATTGTTTAAATTACTGTTGCAGAGATGTTAGCATTCCATTAAAATGTTTGAAGAAACGTATTGATGTCATTGAGGATAAACTTATCACTATGCAGTTCCTTGAGTATCTTCAAGCGCATCAAATGTAGTTGGAATATGTAAAACTTATTAAATAAGGAACACAGCGAAAAATAAAAGATTTCATTTTTGGTGGTAATATCGATGAAACGTTATTATTTGCAGAGATTCGATTAGCCTTCATCTACCAGATCTAGAAGATCTTCACTTGTACGAACGCCAGCATATTCAAGACGTCATCGAGAAAGCAGAAAAACGTGCTCCACCATTCGTCATTAAAGTCACTAATGCAATTGACACGATAAAAGAGTCATCAGTGGACAGCGTTGATGTTCCAGTTACTGGAACTTCACTGAAAATAGATTTACCTGCAACGGCTGATGCCAGTGAGGTTGGGAATGTGATGAAATCAGTCTCGGAAGAAATCGACGATAACGGCATCAGAGTGGATCCAGTTAGCTGCGAAAACCCCTCTGATTCATCTATCATGGAAACTTCGTCAGATCATCCGAGTAGATCAGTTTCAAAGGATTTCAAAACCTGTTCGAAGGAGCGAGAGTTGGAGAAAATCTCCTCCCAGATTGAGCATAAATCTCTGGAAAATGAAGGCGTCCATCCTGAAACTGAGATCGATAGAAAGCAGCAAGAGACAAGTATCTCAAGCTTGCTGAGTGAAGGAGCATATAACATTGATTATTCTCAACTAACTCCATTATACGAAATGGAAGATAGCGGAGCTCATGAAGAAAAGTCTGAGAAAACATCAGCAACAGCTATGTACAATGATCAAGAAATGACTGCTGAGGAACTGGAACATATTCAAAGAATGGCTGAAATCGCAGCCAGCATGGATGCTGAACTCACTTTCCCTGCTACACCAAGGGGACCAATTATGAAAAGAGAATCAGTATCACATCTTCCTGAAAAACAACATGAACTGCGATCTTCGGAACTTTCAATTGAAAAGGAGGAACATAGCGGCAAAATGCCTCAACTTGCGATGGATCTGGACGCAGAGTTGCCATTATCTATTGAAACGATACCAAATTATCCAGCAAGTGAAGGACCCACTCACGATGTGGGTTCAGCCTTCACAGAAGATTCATTGCAATTACTATCGTCAGTACATTCTGAAGAAAAACCTGTAAGATCGTTGGATGAGACAGATATTGCAACTGATGACAATTCGAGTGTTATGTTCACCGCGGAAGAGCTGGAACATTTCAAAAGAATGGCAGAATGCGCAGCCAATATGGATCAAGAAGCCCCGCTTCCGTCAGAACCATACGGAAGGGTTCACAAAAGTGACATTACGTTACCGCTGATGGGAGACGTGCAACAACCCAGAAACGAAAACGTACTTTCGTCAGTTGAGAATGTGACAAATGTTGATATTATAAAACGAGATTCATTGAACGGGGAGAATTCTGGTGAAAATATACAAGAAGGAGGTACCCAATTAACTGCCGAAGAACTGGCGCATATTGCTTATGTTAACAGTTTAGCGGAAGCAGAAAGTGAGTATAGCCAACCGATAAGGGAAATGCCGAGATCTCCAATAAGTGCGCACGATGAACAGCAGTTATCTGCTGATGAACTGGAGCATATTCGCGCAATTGAACGAATGGCACAAGCCGAAGAAAATCCATCAGGCGCGTTTCCCTATGAAATCGCTCACGATCCTGCTCAGCAAGTTCAACAACCATCAGCGAAAGATAAATATGAATCAAGCACCACCATGAATGTTGACCATACTATGAGAATTCCGTCTGCAGAAGCGATCTCGGGAAAAGTTTCATCATTGTCGCGAGTTGGATTTGGGAAATTGAAAGGCGCCATGAACGTAGTAGCTAAAGCTGCTGCAGAAACACTGCCAATTGTGGACGATCAAGATGATGACGATGTATACTACGTAGCAGATGAAATCGATGAAAAATGGAGTGACCGTCTCGAGGAAACTCCTTTCGACGACCACCACCAACCTTTCGATGCATCACATCGACAACGAATGCTCGAAGCGGGTCTCACCGATCATGAGATTGATCAAATTGCAGAAATTGAAGCTAAGGCGATGCGGGAGCTGCCAGGTGAACAAACAGAACGGAACAGCGAATCAAGCACTTCCGAGGAGATTCTTGTGCAAGAGATTGGTACCGATAATGGAATCACTGAAGAAGAAATGGAACATATACGTAAGATTGAAGAAATGGCCAACACCATGGAAACTGCCGAAATGAACGCACAACCGAAATCAACTTCTATATTCAGTTCCATATCGTCGGTGAGCAAAACCATTGGCTTACCTCAATTGAATCTTGCCGATTTGAAGGAATCTGTATCAAAGCCGTTGAGTGGAGTGCGACAATTTGGTGAATCACTGAAAACTGATATACAAGAAGAACGTGAGGAGAACAAGAAAAATAAATCATTTTCCGTCGTTAGTGTTCAGCTTACAGATGAAGAACTCGAACATATTGCGCGCATTCAACGAATGGCTGAAGCTGAAGAAGAGGCAGTTTCTCAAATGAAGTCGACATCATCTGTGCAACGCAAAAGTGATTCGACATTGCCAACTACAACTAGCGTGGCGCAGCACAATTCCATAAGTCATGATGATACGTATGGTGAAGGTGTTGAACAATCAACAGTTATAAAGTTATCACCTGAATCAATTGATGCAGAACAAGCTGATCCTGCTAGCCAGCCTTATCAAAGCGGACTTTTGGATGAAGTGGAGAGTGAGGAACACAATGCTGAGTCTGCTTCATCTGAAGAAACTTCTGGACCAAGTGAAGCCACATCAGACGAAGATGTTGAGTATGGAGTAGGAATTGATCAACAAATGAGGCAATCAAGTCAAGAAGAAAGATTAGACGAAATAGAAGTCAAACAACCGAAAGATACCGATCAGGCGATGCAGATAACTGCTACAGGAGAACAATTAACAGCTGAAGAACTCGAGCATATTAGACGTGTCCAAGAGATGGCCGATGCCATCGATGTTAACGTGACAGAAAAACCTAGCGTTCGGCCCTTCGGAATGGATATTGCGCAGCAGATAAGTCAAAAAACTAGTAGTTTCGCAGGTTTTGGTTTCGGCAAGATTAAAAACGCCATGAATCAAGCTGTTCAAAAAGGCTCCAAAGATGTTTCATTCTCTGGTCAAAGAGAAGATATGGCAGAACCAGTGAGACAGTCAACTACAGATCAGACGAGCAAACATAAAGAAGGCTTAACCGATGATGAATTGAAGCACATTCAAGAAGTAGCGAGAAGGGCAGAAATGGACACAATTTTGCGTAATGCAGCGGATCCACCGCATACATTACAAGCAGAATCCCAAAGTGCGCCTGTTGTTGAACAGGTCGGGATGATAACTGATTTATCAAGCACAACGTTTGTTCAAAATGATCGCTTACCATCTATAGCATTCGCTGAAGCCAAAACAGCGATGAACGCAGTTGGAGAGAGCAATCAGTTAACAGCTGAAGAAATGGAGCATATTAAAAGAATCAATGAAATGGCCCAAATTAATGAGCAATTATCAACTGGCATCATCGAACTGTCTTCGCAGACACAAGAGATACAGCAGCAAGAGGCTGTTGTGAAAGCAAATGTCGAAGAATTGTCAGCGGAAGAATTAGAGCACATTCAGAGGATTGCTGAACTTGCTGAGAACGATTTGCTCACCACTGCTGTTGCTGATGCAGCTGATGTCCAATCAAAAGGTGCAGATGAGAAGCCAGAAGTTCCACTGACAGATGAAGAGCTTGCTCACATTCGAAAAATAGCAGAGCTGGCTGAGCAAGACGGTATTGTGCAGCCTAACTGGGAGCATCAATATGATGATGAAAGAGTACCACCTGCTTATGAAAGCCCAAATGAGTATCAAGACGTCACGGACGATTCCTCTGAAGAACACAGCGCTTATTCTGTGAGCAACTCATCTGGTACAGTTTGCTCACTTGCCACACCGAAAGAAGCCACAGACATTCATTCGGATACTGCTGAAGAGCAACGCAAAGACTCGTTCGATTTGAATGAACGAGAAGATATCATCTCACGGTATGCAGATGCAGATTCGAGTACTGATGCTCATGAACAAGCTGACCTTTATGCTGTGACGGATGCAATCGCAGCTTCACGAGAACAAGGTTTAGAAGACGACGACATGCAAAAATCTGAAAAACACTTGCCTGGAGAAGGAGAACCACTCTTCGTTGCTGGCGCGGCTGAAGGACGGGAACACAGCAGTGAAGATCAACCAGAGAAATGTGAACACGTTGACAGAAGTCGAAGTCATGCGCCAAGGACAATCTCATTGGATACTGGAAGCATCGCTTTTGATCGGAAATTGGACGAGCAGAGATCAGCAGTCACTGTTGTGAGATCCGAATCGCTAGATGCTGATCGCAATAAAACTGACCGTCTTAAATCGTTACGACGCACAGGTAGTAGAATTGGTGAATTCCGTATCAAATCAGTGAAGGAGCTGAGTCTTGCAGAAGATGTATCCGAATGGTATGAGGAACAGTTGAATTCGTTGAGGAATTCAATATGTGATGATGAGTCGCTCAAAGAAACTGGTTTGTTTTTTGTTTGTTGGATAATATTGTTATTCGATGAGTTCACCGCGCAATATGTATGTAGTTCTGCTAGGAATCCTCAAGTTAGAGGTAAAAACAATGTTTTACTGTGAAAAGTATTTGGAATTTTTTATTATTTGAAAATTCCTTAGATGGAAAGCTGACATGTTCATTATTTCAGTTGAAATCGAGGAAGAAAATCTTGTTGGCGAGGGGATCNTTTTTTTCAACGTGATAATACAAATGTTTCAAATCAATGAATAATTTACACGGATTCGTCACAATTCTTTAACAACTAGAAAGTTTTCTGTACAATTCGAGAGGATTTCACATCTCATGAGATTCAATCTCATGAGATGTGTGGTGATATATTGTTCTTTTTCCATATCAAATGCATCCACTTAAATCCGGCTTGTAATCATTTTCTCCCTTTGTATTGTGTGCAGTTTATGGCCTATAACTTTATGTAGAATATCAACGCAGTCAGAGAATATCAATGCAGCTCTGCTGTCACGTAAAAACTGTGAATGCTGCTTATTGCTCTGAAAAGACCAAAAAGCATATCTTAGCTAACTTCTCAGTCACACTCAAGTGCTTTCAGGCAGACATATTGGTTGGAAATGACACTCAACAAACACTGATTCCGACAGACGTCGAAAAAGGTGAGACGCATTATCAACATACTCGTTCTATGCTCACTTTACTGAAGCTGAGACCCATTGTAACAATGAATTAGCGCTGCTGAAAAAATTTTTAGCAATTATTCATGTCAGACTGCAGATCAAGATTAAAATGGAAAATTCGTGAGTCACATAATACTCAATGAAACTGCCAAAGACTTTGATTTCGAACAGTTATTATAGCTTTTTCTCTAACTCTGCAATAAGCGAGCCATTATTTCGTAATTCCTTGTGCAGGAAGCCCTCTCAGCACTAGGAGTCACACTGGCAACGAATGTTTTTGCTTTCAACCAGACTTAGTACCAATGACGCAAAACGATATTTTGCAAATATCTTTAAAGTTTACCCGGAATTAGATTTCTTGAGCCATTGTGATATGATGAGAGATTGAAATATTGGATCGTTCGAATAATCTCACGTTTTTTGATCGAAACATCGAACTTTTTAAAACATTCACTGTTCTTGGATGGAAATGTCGAAAATTCTACATCGCACTTCGATACTACTATCGAAACTATGTCTGTTCTGATGAAAATGTGACTGCTTGCGTTCCAAACTACTCTTTATTGTGGAGGTTTATTGCATTTCGTTTCCAGAAGTTGAGAGTTCTCTCAAACGATGCGTCTCAAAGTGCTTGTGAGCTTGGTGATTTTTATCATCACATTTTAAGCATTTGTGAAGTGTAACAATCTTTCAATCTTTATTTCATATCTTTAGGGCTTCGGTTCTTTTTTTTCTAGCCGCTAACCAGTGTATGCGTTTACCGTACTGCTGGCCTGACAGTTTTATTGAGCAGCATCAAAAATTTGAACAAAAAACAATAAGTTGAAATCATCCCGTGTGTTCAGTTTTCTGTGGCGGTTGTTGCTGGAAATTTTGATTCAAATTCGGTTGACATAACAACATAGAACATGGAAAAAGAAATGACATTATCCAGGCGACATGAGATTGATCTAACTGAATGGTGATTGAATACGGAGGGTGGTTAACAGTGACACTGAAACGGTTGCAGATTGAAATCGGTTAGGATATGGATGTTTCGTCTTTATTCGTCAGACATTTCTCATCTCGAGCTGACCTGATTTTTGTCAGCTTGAAAAAAGAGCCGAGAAATCTGTCCATGTCATACAAATCACTTAAGCTTGAATGATAGTCATTTCATTCAGATAAGCATTTTTTTTAGTGTCAGTTGAA